GAGGTGTTACGCATTTCGGGGGAAGGGTCCATAGGTCCTCATATGGCTTGTTAACTGAGGGGTGTTACAGAGTATTTGTTAAATATAGCTAACAAAATATATATTGTGTGTTTGATTGGTCCAGACGCTACAGCGCCAACTACTGGCCTGACATATGTTTTTGGCTGTTTTAGCGGATATGTATAAACGCAAATCGTTTTGAAAACGTTGTCGTGTATACGTGAAACTTTTTAAAAATGCAAGGGAAAAACGTTTCCGTTTTTGACTACATCGTTGTCGTGTAAACGTAGCCTGAGATTGCTTTTCTAAAAAAAAAAAAGAGAGAAAGAAATGGCATGTTGTATTTGAAGCATTTATTTGGGTTACACTTTAAACCCACTAATGATCATTATATACTTAGGGTGTATTCACACCAGGACCAAATGCAATGTTGATTTTTTTTTTGTTTGGTGCGGTTCACTTTCACACTGCACTTTTTGCAATTGAACCAGAAACTGTAAACCAAACCACACGTGTGCTTGGGTTCATTTGGAAGTGGACCGAGACCACCTCTTCAGCTGGGTCTCAGGACGGTTGTTTGGTGCACACCCGAGTGCGATTGCTGTATTCACACCTGCCCAACAGCTCCGCACCAAGGGGTGAAACCAACCTGAGTTCGATTCAGTCGAATCAAACAAACAAAGACAGGTGTGAACACACCCTTAGAGACAGTATGAGAACAATTACCTGTAAATGTGATTGACACCAACATAGAAATATTCATCAGTCTGCTTTGCTGAAAATACAGAGTTGTGTTAGACACAGATGTTACTCATAACATACTGTACGTCTTAACTTTATATTAATACAGTTTTTGACAGTTGTGTTGTGGTAATTGTTTTTGTGATTTAGTATAGTGTCAGTGATTCTATTCATTTGAAATATTATAGGTAGAAACCCTTAAAAATAATGTTGTTTAAATCTACTGGTGAAATCAGATGTTTTGAGGACTACTAAATATTTGCCCCAGAATAACTTAATGAAGAGCTCAATTTTTTTCCTCTGACCAAATTGAACAATATAAAATATGTTTAGTGTTGAC